GAGTCTGGATTTGATTAATGTTAACAGTGAAAACGCGCAGGTGACCATTCGGACTCCGGACAAAAAAGTAGACTATGTCAATGTTTCCAGCTTGAGCTCTACTCAGGTATTCTTTCGGTACTTTCTCCACTCTCCTTTTTGTTTGACTTGTTATCCTTCTAATGGCCATTAATTTTTATGAAATTGTGAGCTAGTAAAGTTTGTAGGTAGGTAGAAAAAATTAAATTTTGTGAATATTGAAGTACTGTGGTGGCTGCTGTGATCATTGGCAAGTAAAAAGGAAAGCCGTTCATTATGCGTCTTCTATATAATGCTGTATGGCTTATACAGTAAGTAAAAACGCATATTGTCTGTCGGGAGGCTTGCGGTGTGTGTGTGTTTGTGTGTGTGTGTGTGCTTGTGTGTATTAAACTTTCTTTCCGCTTTCAACTCATCATCCAGGAAAGCTAGAGGCTGAAATTTTGCGAGAGTGTTTCCAACACGCGTGTCATTTTAAAAACCTGAAATCTACGCTCACTTATGTCTGGATCTCATGTCCAGACTCAGAAAAAATATGCAAATACTGTGGCGTTAAAACGATTTTGAGAACTAGACAAACTAGAAAGCTGAAATTTCATGCTGATGTTTCTTGTCCACGTGTGAGCTAAATATTTCAAATTCAGCTATAACGCAAGCCTGTGCTACAAGTGCATTCATGTCAAGCTTCTCAGCTGGCGTCGTGCCAACTCGAAAACTAGCTGTAAAAGAGTAGCTTAAAAATTGCAAGGATATCGACTATCTTTGCACCACGGGTTAGAGCAATCCCGAGATATTCGTAGCGAATCTGCTACTTCGTTTACCGGCCAAGCTGCGAGCTGTAACTTTGCAGAAATATTCTCTGTTTCTCGTGTTAATCTAAATACAATGTGAAAGCTAAGTTCCCTGCACATCGGCACGAAAAATACTGAATTTTATGGCAAACTGAAAGGCGCGTGCATTCTGCGGACTTCGTAGTCCTTTTGTTCCCACATCCTGTGCATTATCAAATTTGCATTTTTCGACGAAACCGTCGCTCACAGGAAAACTGACCGGTCTTCATGCAAACGTGATAGCCACGTACGCCGTAGGTTCACGCTGCCTCATGATGTAACACCGCCAAATTAACTGACGTCCTTTCCCTTCATACAAGAAAGTACAAAAACACAGCCAAAATCAGTCCGCGTGTTGAACCACTGCGTAGGAATCATTCATGCTGTTAAAGACCTGCTAGTTTAGTGTAAAAACCCATAATCGCACCGGCAAGCCTGTGCTTAGCAGCTTAGGTTAAATAAAGTTTATATAAATAATGATCTCAGACTGCGACGGGTCAGCTTACTAACGCGATCACGTATCTTTGCGCTAAACTAAAAGCAGTCAGGCCGTTAACAACATCGTCGTTCTCCCGTTACAGTTTAACGCATAAAATCGGGGGAGGGGCGGGAAAGGGGAGAAAGGGGGAGTTGGGAAAGACGCCTTTGGGAACAGTAATGTTGCTTCGTGGGGCGCGTGAAATCCCGAATTCCCCTATGCATGACTGCCGCAATTTTTGCTTGAAGAGAAATGAATAATTTTCCGGTAACCAGTACCTATACATCTGAGTCATGCACGAGTAGGTGACGTGTTAAGTCATGAAACAAACTAATGCGCGAGAAACGCCCATTTAAATGTAGCTTCGGAGAAAAACCAAAGAACGAAAATGAAGAAATTTAAGATTTTCATAAGGATCGAAGGGCCTACTCTAAGAGAAGGAAAGGCCGACTGTTTCCCACGTCGGCGTCCAACTGTACCGCTGACCACTTTTAAATCTTTACGTTTTCAGTTTACACTAAAGAAAAGTGCAGCTAACTACTGCACAGGTAGCGGGGTGGTAAAATGCCCGGACACTCGCGTGTACATCACATCCAGCATACCGATATCCGTGATCGCAAACAACTACCTCAATAAGGCCGCCGGTGATAGCTTCACAGGTGACGAATATTTACGATTGTTTCTTTTAATTACTAATTTTTCCTAGTTCCTTTTTTAAATCCCAACTTGATGCTGCTCTCAGCTCACTGCTAATACAATCTTAGCTCCCGGAGCAAAAACATGGTAAAATATTTTCAGAGATATCTGTTTGATTTTCAGTAATGCCAGTTACGATGGCAGGTACACAGTACGCTGTAACAGTGCCCGAACCTAAAAGCAGACGGCAATCCTCCACTGTTTATTTTGTGGCTTTGGAAAAAGCTACAACTGTCAATCTGCAAATTGTGGATCAAAAGAGAAAGACACAAACGAATAAAACCATTACTATCAGTGTTCGTTTATGATATTTTATTTTTCGATAACGGCAATAATACGTCTTTTCTTGCGCCTGCTGCTAAAGTTGATGCTTTTTGTTTTACACAATACTTAGCGCCTTACGTGCTTCAGCAAAAAATTTTTAAATTTTTAATTCTATATTTTATACTTCCTTCCGAAAATACCAAGGCTGCGTAACAGTCATTCTGATGGTTTTACTAGGATACTCCGCAGCGCGTGGTCCTGGAATCCTGAGGGTCGAAGATTTAACGCCCGCAACATCTGTTTGCTCGGTTTCACATACGCTTGTTAATTTTCCGAGACTTCTGCATTAAATCGCATCTGTTTAACTTGTTTTTGTGCATTATCAGGACGGCTCGGTACGATGTTAAGGATGCTCCTAAAACCAGCTCGTTCGCCAGACACGAGGTGAAGAGAAACTTTTCTGAAGCGAAAAAAAACTTCTTGTATATCGTCGATTAAAAAACGAAGTACCAGTCGCAGAATGAAATAATGCACTGATTTAAAATGCTACCAGAATTCGGCCATGAATCCGCAAGTTCAGACTCCCACTTTTCAAAAGCACATTTTTTGCGTAGGCACCTATTTTGCACCCGGAAATAATATGAAAAGAATCAATAAGTTAGGTGAGCGGAAAAAAGTTGTAAATCCGTACAGTAAAAAATAAATACTCCGCTCTTCTGACTCCCTTATCATCCCATTTTGTTCGTGCTCAAAACAAAGCTCAGCCTACCGTCTTCATCCACTTCCGGGCTTCTTCATTCGGAACTTTCACTTTCACCGCTGCTTCCTTTTTATAGGCAAGTGCCAAAGAGATTACTGCTTTCCGGACAGGATCGGCAAAATATCTGTTCGCGTCGGGGAATGCCGATTTTCTTATTATCGTTGCCGTTCAGTCGCTAGAAAGTCCATCAGCCGGGAAAAGTCTCGATTTCGGCGCCTACATGCCAACGCCTGTACTGAGTACTGGTAAGTTTTTAATTATTTCACAGCTTTTCCGAATTTAACGACATTTAAATCGCCTTTCAACTAATTTGAATCCTCCCTTCCATGCGTATAAAGGGAAGACAAGTAGTAGTAGAAGTATGGAATCCTGTTTTTATGCGTTTTTGCATATATACAGATGCAAAAACGCATATTGTGACGATTCCGATGTGTCTGTGTGTGTGCGTCTCTCTGAGTATATCAAGTCGGCACCCAAGCAAGCTTCGGCGTCAAAATTTTCCATAAAGTGGGTTCCCCGACCAACTGCCACCCTAGGGCTGTGGTATCGACCCTCACGTCTAGGCCCCGCGTACAAGCGCCTCGAAGTTTTGGCGGGAAAAGCTGGAAAGCTGAAACTCCGCAATTATGCTTCCCGTTCACGTAAAACTCAAAGTTCAAATTCAGCCCTTAGGCATGTGTGGTTCTCACCTACGGCCCCGTGAAGGTTCCTAGAGGGAAAATCGCTGACTTAGGAACCAGGAAAGCTAGGAAGCTGAAATTTTAAAGGAATGTTTAAGTCTATGTACAACTTAAAGTTATCAAATTCAGCCCCTCGGCGTTGATAGTTTTGGCGAAAAACCCAAAAGAAGTCACCAGAACGCTTATAATTAGCTTAAAATATTGAGGAATCTTCCAGTTCTCATTAGGGGAATGCAAAACTCTGGTTGGCTTTATGTCACTGAAACTGAGATATTTCAATACACAGACAAAAATGCGTGATCCTACTTCAAATGATAAGACCTGCAAGTGTTCCATAAATTCAGATTGTGATAATACGGAAGACTACCACATCTCGATGTTGGTTTCGTCTACGGACTTTTACGCAGTTCAGCCTACACCTCAATGCAAGTGCAAAATTAACGTCGTTGGTGGCAGTGAATATAATATGTCCTACACCGTACCTTCGAAAATACACATCCCATTCGCCAGTTACAGTAGTAACGCTGGTTTTTATTCCAGGTACGGTATTTTTTTTCGTGTATCGTTCATGAGTTTAAACAACTATAGATGTGTAAAATGAAAGCACAGGTAAATGTGCTTTTTCCAGAAAAAGTCCAAAACTCCCTCAGTATTCACTCTCAGTGATAGATGGGGTCAATTTAGAAACTAAACCGAGTGATAGCAAATGTCAATAGCAAGCACACGCCCTCTACCAGTGGCCCCTTCTTTTGAAGGCTACAAGCAAGCAAGTTGGTGGAAGATTTGACTAGAACCGTATGCCAGTACCAATGCCATCGTACCTCCCGAATGAAGAACTCTTCGAAGGATTAGTTTTTCCGATGACAGAGTCAAGTCTTCGATAGTGCATGAGTGCTACCCAATGCTCGTGAGTGCTGAAATAAAATTTTCAACATTACGATAATTTCAAAACTTCCATCGTACGAGGACTGCAGGATTTGCTTAAATTCTCGTAAAATTTGGGGCCGAGAAAACTACAACAAGCAGCGCAGACCCCCCTAGCTAACTAGCCAACTAATCAGGAGCGATGCGGTTCAGCTGCAGTCAATTAGTGTGTTTGTTTTTGTTCTTTCAAAATCACTGAGTTATTTCCTTTGGTACTATATTACTGAGGTCTTGACTGCCACCATGTATGATTTGCAATTTTAGTACGAAGGTAAACCGTCTGTCTCAGTCAGCAGATTTTGCCCTGCATGAAAGCTATATTGTAGTTCAAAGCACTGAAATGGGAGCAGTGGAAATTTCATCGATAAATTGTATAATTTCAAAAAATAAATTCTTGAATCTTGCTTTTTCACTCTCTACAGTTTTTGTTTTTATGCGTTTTTGCATATATGTAAATTGCAAAAACGCATATTGGGAAGAGGCTGTCTGT